TCCATCTCAGCATTCACATTTCGGCTACGTTCAGGCGTTTCTCATCCCTTCTCTTAAACTTTCAGAACTATACAGGACGGCAGATCTGATGATAGGTTTGTAAAATTATTCTTTCAGTGTTAAGAGGAAACTAGGATTGTTTCCGTTACCTGCCGCACCTTTTTTGACATAAAATAAGCAAAAATAGATGAAAAAAAATATCTGATCTCATCAATGAGAACAATCGATCTTATTACTTCTTCTGATATTCATACGGATAAAAAAGATTTAACGCAATAAATAGAAACAGATTATGTTAATTAGATTAGATTTGAGATTTCGGAGAAATGTAGGTAGTTTTCAAATAACAGTTGATTAGAGATCTGCTCTCTTTTCCGAAATCGGTTAAATGAGGCCGATAAAGCAAGACCTTTGTACATTTGACACAAAACACCATGAATACACAAAAGTATTTACTCTAGTGTTAAATGCTAGGCTGGCATACAAGATATTTATTTGTTCAAACATCTACACTTAAGGCTATGTGGCTAAGCATTAAGATAAAAAAAATATGTGCACGTAAAGTCTTCGCTGAAGTCAATCACCAAACAGAAACTTATTGTATTCTTTAATGAATATAGCTTGTTATATTTTGTTTATTGTTGTTACTTGTTATTTATTTTATTTTGTTGCGTATGATATTACACTTTTAAAAGCTTCTTTCTAGACGCCTTAAACGTATTTTTCATGATCTTTCCTCGTTATGGATGTGAAATATCTAATGCCACGGCATGCGTCGCCACGCTATATGATAGTATAATTTAACATGTAATGCAGTGTGACGACGCGTCGCTATATTTATTATTTAAATAAATAAATAAATATACTAAAATAAACTTTATTCTGTAAGAAAACACAGCATACAACTTAATATAAATTACTAACTTAATACAACTTACAATAATATTTCATTTTTTTTAAAAGCTTATAACTATTGACGTACGTGCAACACTATACTACGCTATCTGTGGTCATGAGTATTTAGTTGTCTGTGAGACTGTGATCATATATGACGTGGCGCTGACGTGGTGATCACTATTATTTTAGGTTAGGTACCAGAGAGAAACTATGTTTTGCATGTAACCAAGCAGGCCTCTCAATCTTAACCACATAGATAGTTTGTGCTGATGAGAGTTGTACGGTGTGTCCCACAGAATAGGTGGACCCTCAGCATTTACTGTGATGGACATGGTCCGTCCCCGTATTGATTTTCAGTGCCCACCAGAATTATTGATTGATTTGACGCCGATATTTCATTTGATATTTCATTTCATAATCTATCCTTTCATATTCATTATTTCTACCAAATAATTTCGATGTTTCATATCTGCAAGACGTCCCGCGATGGCTCAATTTTTGAAGTGAAAACTTCTTTAGCGGCGTTGTACACTTTTTTTGTAATGGGTAAAAAATGTTAAACTCGCGTCAGGACACGTGACCCTGATCGAAAATTCATAAGACGGATGGAGAGTAGACAGCCGGCGCGACGTAGGCGAGGAAGTATCCCCCTCTCTTTCTACGGCGCGGCGAAAATGTATGCCTGCGCCTGCTGTTTCGTTTAGGCGGCGCAGCGCGCTTGCGCGAATGTTCGTTTTTCTGAGAGATAAACTTTTTAATGTAATATAAATTTTCATGTTTGTGTATGATAGGGCAATAAATAAATATTGTATTCTACCACATAAATGATAGTACTTTTATACTGATAATTAAAGTAATTCGAGCAAAATTATTCTATAACCATTCCAAAATATCAAAAATGCACAACGTTAATATTTAAGTTTTTACTTCTGCCGGCACTCCCGGAGTGCAACACGTTGTTTTTTTTATTGTGTGATTGTATTTGGTGCATGGGGTGGATTTAAATGTCTTCAAGTCCTTATGACGATTTATACACCTCGGATATTGGTTGTCAAGTTTAATCAATGTTGATTCTGTCAATGATTCTATACATACATTATTAAAGCCGTAACGGTCATAGATGTACACTTTTCATTCGAATGCAAACTGTGCCTGTGCCTTGTTCCTTATCTATTTAGTATTATAATCTAATGTATCGCTGTTAGCGTAAGCTTAAGCTGAAATAATAAAATTACAATCTTACTTAAGAAGCAAACGAATTAAGTCAAAAATAATCGTAACGTTCATGTAGTACCTGTAGAATTACAACATCAAAAAAACTTAACAAGCAACATTAATCATGAAATCAGCGTGATCCACTTTGCATCTATTTCTTACATGCATTTAATCAACTGTGACAAGGAAACTACAATAATGCACTTATGATTACCATTTGATAAGTCACCATTTGATTTACTGACCTCAACAGTGTCACTGACTGGCTAAGCGAAAACGTCTTAACACTAAATACCCTAAAGACAAAATATAAGACATTCTTAAAACGAGGATGTCCACCACAACATCCCTGGTCTGTTGTGACTCATTGCTGTCCGCCCACGAAGCGTGGAATGCAAGTGCCACTCTCCTCGACTGTAAAATGTAATGTACAACAATTAAACTGGTTTACGAGTCGCTTTGTCAATCCTTAAAAGTACTCTGGCACTTATCACTTCCAACATTGGAGCAGCACAGCGAGCAGTCTTGAAAAGATCGTTGTCTCTCCCCTTTCGCTTTCCTACTGTAAAACTTTATAGGAATAGCTCTTTGCTTTCAGTTCGAAAACTTTTCATTCTGTACACTGTTCTTAAACAGCATTCGCTGTTATTCTTTAATACCACCATATTTTATATATTCTACCACAGCGCCGCAAATATAATGTTTGTACAACCCCGACGTGTTCTAATTTTTCTCACAGATCTTTCTCTTTTCTAGGTGCCCACTTGTATAAAGAACTTAATATAAATTCATAGACTAGACGATGTGTGAGAAAAATAGTTCATCAATTTCTAGTTAAATTGGACTACGATGAAACAGAAAAACTGTTAGTTATACGAAAATACTAACCTATATTACACACACACACACACACACACACACACACACACACACACACACACACACACACACACACACACACACACACACACACACACACACACACATACACGCGCACATACACGCGCACTTACTAACGCATACTCGCACGCAAACACAAGACCCGCGTGCACGCACACGCACGGACAGTCATATATGCCAATGCCTACCGCATTAGATGTATTTTTCCTTGTTTGTCTTCTTCCCTTGTTCTGTCTACTCCTACATGTACAATGTTGCATTGCCTCAGACTATGTTTTTGACCGTGGAAGTCTGGTTATCCATAATCCTTACAGAAGTGGCAATGGAAGCACATATCGCCAAGACAAAGGCTCAAATGTTAGAAATGTTTGGGTGTCATGTATTGATAAAAAACATTGAGTTATTCTTTGTACTGTAAGGGTAATGTAAAAGGCTTTTTGTACTGTTAAGATTTCGAAAAGTAAAGTTATGTATTTGTTGTAAATGAGTGTAAAAACAAATTTGACGCAACAATAATTTTTTTTCATGGGGCATCACTATCATTGCGAAAATAGATTTAGTATGTGTAAAAACTGAACTACTGAATAAAAAAACGGTATGTTATAAATGTAACTTGTGTTATCATTTGTTTTTAATTATTATTAATTTTAGTTTATTGGACACCAACAGCGATGCAATTACATATTTTGTAACATTACGGAAAATATCATATCTGTCGTAGGAAAATTCTCTATCGAATACGCTACTATGTAGCCATGTTTTAGTTATAATAACGATGTTATAGTCATTACACAAATTATTTTGAAAGAGTTGTGATGTCTTAGTTCTTAGCCCACGGCAGTTCTGGTAATATATTTTTAAATTAAATGCAATCATCGCCGCGAATAAAAATACACCAAAGTTTCACTATAAGAACGTACAATAACAACATCTTAAAATATATTAAATCAAGCAATTATGTTAGACTACAATCTCAAATTTCCGAAAATAGTATCGTATCATAAACAACATGTTTAAATAAAACCAGACTCGCAACAGAGTTTCTCTACCTTACAAAGTATTGTGATCTGACTGTTACAAAATTAGTAAACAACAACACCAAATTATTATTCATCATGTATTTCTTAAATAAATGGTTTGGTCATCACTTGGTAATGTGATCACATTAGAATAATCTACTATTTGAATGTAGAACCACCCAGCCATTATAGCTATGCCTTGTGTTTTTTTTTGTTAGACTTGGCATGCATAGAGATTTTTGACGACAAAACAGAGGTAAAACGAGCTAAATTATGTGTTACTTAAATATTTTAGGTCTTTAATGAGATTTGTAAGGATAGATAAATATGTGAGGAGTTAAAGTCTAAACATCGCGCACACCAGCGATAGGGACATTTATCACCTAGAAAGAGGACAGAAAGTTAAATTTAAAAAACATGTTCTATATATGTTTTGCCACAAGTGATACAAATAGAATACAACATACATAGCGAAAACATGTAAATGGTGGATAGTGTTAACACATGTTGTATCCTTTGTTATATGCACTGTATGTTTTCCGAACAAAATAAAATAAAAATAAAATAGTTTACGTTTTACCACCACGTTCATTAAAATGTCGTAAGAACAAACATTTTTTGCTCAACTGTAGGCATATCTAATTTAATTTAAAGATGAAGATTTGATTTTTTAAATGAAACGAAATCTGCATTTTTTAATTTTAATTTATATTGAATTACAAATATCACATAAAAGTACTGCCGATTTTATTTGAATGTTAGTGTCTATTAAGTGATGATTGTACTACCTCAATTAGTACTTGTTGGTTGTTCTTACGAATTTGAATAAAGCTATAGAAGGCAGTGGCTAACAGATGATTAAGGAAGCAACTTGTACATTCCTGTACCGTGCACATTGATAAATATAGATTTAATGAGCATTACTGTAAGTAGTTAGTATAATACTGATGATGCAACATTGTCATGCAGTGCATTGCTGCCATCTCAGCGACAAGTGGCGATGATCAGCGAGATGATACACTCGGCATCACTGATACATGATGACGTCATCGACCAAAGTGATTTTCGTCGCGGCAAACCGTCCGTCAACGTGCTCTGGAACCACAAGAAGGTAAGATTATTATTGCTTTTAGTTCACCATCTCGTATAATAATTGTTTTGTCTCATATAAAAATGAATTTCATTCAGAAGAACGACAGAAACCAAACCCCTTTGGGAGCGCTCGTACTTGTCCTTATCTACTGGACCTATTATGTTGAAACATTTTACATATTAATTTCTATGACTTAAACACATGAGTGTAACGTACATAAAGGAATTTTATAAACTACACTGTGTAACATACATGAAAGGGATTTTAAAGGGTAACCAGTATTTGTTTAGGATCAATTTTAAGATAATATAGTAAATAAAAATATGGTGAATTATTATATAATTCACCATATTTTAACACTGAATTTACTAAGCGCACAATTTTGGAAAATAAAGCCAAGTTTGATTTTGAAAATGTTATTTTATTATCTGGGTTGCTAGAGCTCCATAAGAATCGCTTTATTCTATTAACTATTCTATCCTCAACATTATGTCTGATGTCCGTTGTTCGGATAAGTTGTAGTTATAAGTCACAGAAACTATATTAGGTTGCATTACACGTTTCTGTTGCTTTTATTATCATCAACAATTTTTATGTAATGGATGCGTAAGCTTATAAAAATACCACGTTGATATGTATTTATTCCGCGGTTTTGTCTCGTAGAATACGAATAGATTGACATGTTTATGTATGTGATCAATCTTATCACACTTGTAGGTACATGAACTTATTACATATTAGTACAACCGAGTTCATTATGTATTGACTTATTTTACACCATAATGTTAACGTGTCGGCACTTATGAATTACAGTAATAATGTGCTTGATCAAATGAGACCTGACGCCTGAATCGGAAGAGTTCAGCGTTGTTGATTTATAGTATGTTAACACATGGAAGTAAAAGCAATAAAACTATGTCATGAAGAAATTTTACACTTACAAATTAGGCTTTCAGTACCGCTGTACTGTAACTTAGTAACTGACAACATTTGGAGAAATTGACGTATTGGTGGACATGATTACCAAATACTATGTGGAAAGGAATTACAGTTCAATTACACTGTTCAATCTAACACACAATTTCAATCTAATACACTGTGTGTCAATCTAAGTGGCGTGCAATGGAAGAGGCCTATGTCCAGCAGTGGAATGCGATAGGCTGATGATGCTGATGATGATGATGATGATTATTATTAAAAAGATTTCATTAATACGAAATAGAAAAGCAACCATGCAGTTATCATTGTCAGTTGTAGGGTTTAGAATTTACTGCGGCTCTATTTGTCTGTACTTTACTGTTGGTTAGTCGGTGGGCGCCGAAGTAATTCTCATTCAAATACAGATAAATTTCATGGAATTTTTAATTCTTCGCATACACTAACTTGGCTCTAACAAATTATGACAACGTCATATGCTAATATTTGATAATGTTACCAACTATGTGAAGTTCTTGCTACCTCAACATACTTCAAGGTTTATTTATTAAAGATTCTTATTAAATATTCTACATGCAATTCTATTAGTATATCTCATATTAATCGAATTCCTTGGGAATATCCCCACATGATGTGCCTATTGACTATGACGGTGGGCAATTACTTTGGGATTTTCTGCATGATAATTATATGGTATATAATGTTGTCATATTTCATTAACGTGACACTAAATAGAACGATGTTAACTCTACATTGTGTTAGTGGGTATGCTATTGTATTGGGATAAACCTAACAGCTTATTAATATGTGTGCCGTGTCTACTCGATCACGAGTAGAATGGAAAGTGCAAATAAGCTATATAGATAAGGTGCGGCTGTTTCGACAGCTATTATGGCTGTTGCTAAGGTGGTGCCGAATTTGCGTCAATTGATTTGCTTAGACTCACGTAGGAAACCAGTCCCTGTAAAATCTAATATATATCCTATCAGATATTTAAGATTGTTGTGATTTTTTTTTTTATATCAAATCTGCGTTCTTTCGGTTAAATTCCGATTTAAGTGCAAATCTTAAACTTATTAAGAGTACCAACATCCTCGAATCGGGGTCCGTTAAAGTTTTTTACATCGTCGACTACTGGTAGCATTCCCTTCTGGGCTAGCAGCATGGCAATTTGAAAATCAATGTTAATTCGCTGTGTACGAAACAGGTCTGTTTTATGGTAACGAGAAGTATCGATTAGTCGCTTAGGTAGTTGCTTATGAACGGAATGTCTCCCGGATCCCATATTTGAGCTATTTTCGTTTAATCCCCAAATATTATTTTTAGCATGGTGGTAATTTATTTCTTATATCGTCCATGTTGGATCCAATCGGAATAAAGAATAAAATTAATCAAAGTTGATTAATTTTATTGTGTGTGAATCAATGAATCAGTTTAAAAGACTCCCACCGGGATAATTCCATTGAATGTAAACATGAAATGTGAAACATGATGCGTTTGTCACTTTTCTTTACACACGTTTTCCTAATAAAATAGTTAAATATACAAGGTCTGAAATTAGCTACAAACCATTTTTTAAATTATGTATTAACCAATGCCGCGAGGCCCGAACAACTTTCATGGGAGTAGTCGGACAGAGACATAAATGAAATAAAAAATAAATATTTGTTATCTTTGGCAATATTAGTTTAAGCTTTAAGCCGGTATTTATTGTTTACCCATTTGTAGTCCAAATATTAGTCTTTGTGGATACACCTCTGATATTTTTAAATGCTGAAGCTACCCTGAATCTCGACAGCGAGAATCTTTACACTGGATGCGTCATCGGGCCTATTTTTTCGAAAACATCGCCTGCTAAACTACTACTGTGAACGGCGAGCGCCAAAGAGCCATTCTCAACAACTTTCTCCTCCCTCAACTAGACGAATTGGGACTGGCAAATATGTGGTTCTAGCAGGACCGAGCAACGGCACATACTACACGACCCACAACCGAAATTCTGAGGGTTGCATTTCCGGATCGCCTAGTCTCTCGTTTTGGTGATTTGCACTGGCCGGCAAGATCGCCCAATTTAACCGATCTAGTTTTCTTTTTATGGGGTTTCTTGAAGTCACAAGTCTATGTCAACAAGCCTCAGATTTTTAAAGCCCTCAAAAAGAATATCCGTCAGGAATGCGGAAACCTATCGCCGGAAGTTTTGGCAGGAGTGATGTAAAATGCCATAAATCGGGCCCGTATCGTCATCAATTCTGGCGGCGGCCACTTGGTCTATATAATTTTTTCTACTTAATGAAAAAAAGGCATCAAATAAACACAATCCAAACGCAAAACTAAAGATTTTCATTTAATCAAAAAATTTCAGTCAAAGAACATCGACAAATACAGTCAAAGGAGGTGACAACTTCTGCGCGACATATTGGTACAATTGAGAACTTGAAACCTTGAGTGCATAATTTAACTGGATAGAACTGTTAACTATGCAAAACCTATGCAAGTTTCTTTACAATATTTAACATTATCACAAAAAAAAAACATTCAAACAGTTGAAAGAACTGATATGAAGTATTATTAATATCATGGCATAGCATATAATATTAAGTATGTCAATTTGTGCATCTATATGCGACATTTTAATATTTATCTGTTTTAAATTGACCTACATCTTCAAAACTAAGTTCGGGTTATTGCCCTAAACATTGTTTGTGAGAAGTTGCAGTAGCCCAAGACATATTTTTTTGTTACAAATTACTCGGTTACTCTTTTCTTTCACTTTATGAATGAATGAGATGTAGGTATACATCTGATTTAATTTTAAGTAAACGTAGTGTATAGTTTAATGGTTGCGCCAGACAACACTCATACTCATTTGTCCACAGTGGGACAGCCGCGCGGCCCTCGGTGAAAGTACGTCGCGACCTCGTCACTTTATTAGTTTTTTGTATGTTTAATGTTCTTAATAGTCGAATTTTGTTTATTATTTTTTGTCTATATTCTTCAAAGTTTTCCTTTTACTTTATTTACAAACAAGGCATATGAATTTACGGTCTTATCACTTACGGTGATATTTCCAAACGAGCTTTTCATAGATATTAACAACACTGATTAAGGGTAATCTCAGCTGTATTTATTATTTATGAAATTGTTTTAACAACTAATGCGTAAGTGAATTATATGTAGGATAAAAGTCCTTTGTATTACTAAACTATTTACACAGTACAATTCCTACTAATACAAACACGATTTTACAAATGTCTCTTAATACGGTAAGGGATTAGTCAGCTGTGTGCGTAAAGACAGCTTTTTAGGGCAGTAGGTTATAGTTTTGAAACAAATTAATATTATGTTCTGTTTATGAAGAGTATGTAAACAAATTATTTGCCTATGTAGTTTAGGTTATTCCCTAATCGTTGTTACGCACTAGTGATACATTGAGTGTTCTCAAATACATATAATATCTATGTAAGTTTTGGTAAGTTTATGTTATATGTGTTGTGCGTTTGTGACATATTGTGTAATATTTTCCTCTTTGAATTTATAAATTTGTTCAAGCCATTATGGTTGTTAGATTGGTCAAGGCGATTTTCGTAAGTATTATGAGACCACAGATCGAGAATTGGCTTTCGATTTCATCCTATAGATTGAAATCTTTATATAAATTACAAAAAAAAAAAATTATAAATTACAAAAATTAAAATTGTGTCCGCTTAAACAAAGAACAAATGTGATTAGAATAGAGATTAGGGAAGAACAAAAAAGGTCTTCAACTATTTTAATGTCACGCACTTGGATTTACTTGTGGATGCTGATTGTTTTTTTATGGCATTCTATATTGCCATATAATCTTTTTACATCTACTTGTAGGCAACTTGCGTTTACAGACGTCCTTCAAGGACAAAATACTTACATTATGGCATCTTCCGGCGCGAGTACGAGGGCTCTGCGTATTTCGGTGTGAAACGTTTAGTGAATTGACAATGCACTTGTTCGTACTCAGTGGTCTTCATCTAATCGTTCAAGACTTCATTATTTACGAATATTTGTCCCACACACACACACACACACACACACACACATTTGTGCAA